GCAATAGATTGTCTGACACAAAGAAAAACAAACAACAAACATCCATCCATTCAGACAAGTAAAAAAATAAATAAATGTAGACATAAATATTTTAAGTCAGGGCACAAGAGGCAAACTAACTAATGATAAGAACGTTGTTTGCTCCAATTCTTATTACACCAGTAATGACTATTATTATTAATAATTGTAATGTGTATAATCAATAATAATCAGTATGCATAACAAAAAAGCTTATTATTTTCTCTACAAGGGCAAAAAAATTGGCCAATTGACCGTGTTGCCAGCTTATGCATGCATGATAATCTGCTCTGTAAGTACATGACCTGCTATTGTACATATATACCCAATACTGGAGTGGACCTAGCAATACAAAATATTTCATACTCGAAACCCTCCTGGAAAATTAAATTGCCGAGGACTCGTGACTTCTGTCAACAACTAGATACTGTCAGGAAAAAAGCGGAATGATACTATTTAACAAATTGGAGCTTTGCTTTAAACAGTGGCACATTTGCTACTTCACTTCATATCCTTCCTTTCTTGCTTTATAGCTTCATAGGACACCATTACCTCCTTGAATTTCGCCTCAGCAGCCTCTGCAACAAAACTCAAGCTATAGACTTCAATATCCAGTTCATGTAAATAATACCATATTACAAGGTTTTCCTTAATAACGGTAGATCACATCTTACCTTTATTACCCTGGTTCTGATCTGGGTGAAATTGTTTTGCTTTAGCCCTGAACGCGGTCTGCAAGGATGAAAAAGGAATCTTAATATTATATCAGCTACAACATGAAAGAAACACATACAAAGGAAAAAAGCAGAACACTAACAGTTCCTCTATGAAACTTCTCTCTCTCTATCTTTTTCTTTGATACCCAGAAATCTCTGGAGTTTCTCTACATGTTCACTGAACTCTAAACTGGGAGTTACTTCTAGACCCCACAAACAAATCGGATATAATATCCCAACTAGGTCTGGCCCAGTGGAATTTTAACCTTTACTTATTGGTGGAAAACAAGGGCTTTTACCACTAAGCCCAACCCTTGGGTTTATGAAGCCTTTATCTTAATCAGTACATGGAGATCACCAAGAATTCCTCTAACAAATCATATATATGGCTCAGAAGACAAATGATAATAAATGTTTAAACATAACCATTAACCAATTCCTTGAATATTTGAATTTCTAGTAACAGTTAAAGTTAACTTCACTGATGAGCTATTCTGGCTTAAATAAACTTACAGATGCAGAAAAGGAATAACTGGCTTCTAGTACAATCAAAATCTAAATAGATAACAGAGTTACGTTTTCATCAATCACCGCAACTTCACATGACATAATAAGCGACCTCAAAGTTCAAAAAGAAATTCTAAAATAACCAAAAAACAGATGGAGGAAATAAGGATATTTTTAAATAATGACATGTCAATTTGCCTCAAGCAGAAACAAACGCTTGTTGGATTTGACCACTGTAACTTTGATTTTACAAAGTTTTAAGCACGTTACAAGAAATAAGTATGAAACTATTGATCTCTGATAAAGATGTATAAGAATTCCCTAACAGTAACATGGAACGAGTCTTAATAAAGTGCATACCTTAATCTCAGCTTCTGTATAAGGAGTTTTTCTGGACCTGTGCAATTCAAAACATATGAGATATATACAATTATCAAGAACCATGAAAACAAACAAAAGATAAAAAACAACTTTGTAGGCCAGCAAGGTCATGTATACTATCGAGAGGAAAGAAAAATTGACAAAATGATAACCATAAACAACCTAAGTACAACTCTAAAGTCAAGTGCGAATATTTTGCTTTCATGGAAAGTTTGTGGTTCACATAATTTAGATGTAGAACATAAACAAATATTTCATCCATTCTGCTTCAAGTTCCAACAATATATCTTACAATTAGATTTACAAAAGATTGTCTCAAGGAAAAAAAAGAAAACAGTTTGGCCTTGTAAAATGTATCATGAACTTCAAATCATGCTTTCTTCACACACTACAGGTGAAGTATACTCTGCATGAGAATCAAATTTACACAAGAATCTGAACAGAATTAAAACAGTCCATATCAATCATTAATTGATTTATATTTATTCTCAGCCAGTTAATTTGGGAGAAATTTTGAGATACTTATCCATTTTCCAGGAGCAAAAATGGGAAGAACGCATCCTCCTATCAACTAGACAGCAACGGGTAAGGGTTATAAAAGGGCAGTTGAAAGATGAAATAAATTCATGATAATCACAATCAAAATACACAAAGCTCTTTACACCAAGAAATTATTTGGATATTGATATATTCTCAACTCTTCAGGACGAATAGAGAGTCAAAAATAATTTTTCTCAGAAATTTCCAGAAGGGAGAGAAAGGATCAGTTAACTTATTGGAGTTATAATCTTCAACAGTTCTTGTTTATCTGACAACATAAACTCACGTTCAATCTATCTAGACCCTGTTGATGGGTAAGATATGCAAACCTAACCAGCAATATAGCCCATTCTCTCCACAATGAATCATTCTAGCAGGAGATCCGGACCTTTTTCTTTCAGGTTTTTGTAACAATAGAATTACCTGTCAAGACCCAAAATGGAGTAGTGATGTGATAATGAATAACTTCCACTGTCTCTAGGAGGCTGTCTGTAATTAGTCCTCTGACTTCTGTATGATGTATCTGTCTTCCAGTACCAATCATCCCGCTGGAAGTGGTGATTATAAGCACCTGCATCATTTTCTTTCCAGCTCTCATAGCTCCTTCTAAATTTGTTCCTTTCTCTGTTGAACACACTTTGCATGCGCCTTATTCGCTCCTGAGAAGAGCAGAATGGCCATACTATAAACAGTTTATGTAACAATGACAATATAGAATTGGTTGTGCTAAAAGCACACTGCTGACTGGCCAAGTGGACCAACAAAACTCACCACTCTCTCCATTTCTTCTTCATACTCCTCTCTCATTCGACGATTATACCTTCTCCATGCTTCCTCCTGAAAAGATGACCGGAAAGAACCGCCAGTTGCTCCCTTCCATGATGACTGTGACCTGGTTAACTTTTATGGAGCAATTATAACATAATCAGCCTGGCTAGCCAATTATCTATGAGAACAGTGACAATATATATAACATCAGACATACTTGAGAAATAAAGTACTTGTCTCCACAAGTCATATGAAAACATCATTTATCGAGCAAAAACCCAAACAACATAACACAGAGACCCTCATTTCAATTTCATCAAATTGTAGAGATAGTGACAAAAAATGCAGCATTCAAATTGCAACCTAATATAGCAATTCCTTACTTTGCCTGTATGTGTTCCTCAGAATTAGACTACAGCTATGATTCCAGAAACAGAAAAAATAAAAGAACCATCAACATCCACTAAAAAGAATTTATATTCCAAATCTGACCATTTTCCTATATAATTCCAGTCACAGAGAACAAAGAGGCTTCAAATTCTATGGTAAATGAAAAGCACACATGTCTACCTGAGAATAGAACCAATCTACAGTCTTCCGCAGCTGACCAACCTGCCAAATTGTTTCAAACATCAAATGAATGTGTCTAGCAGGATAGGTCCCAATAAAGGATAATTGATTGGCATCAATAAACCTACTTCTAAATCTTAACCAAGAAGGTAAAACGTTTACATAACTTACAACATTTTCTTATAGTTTAAGCGTTTTGAAGTACGGCAGGTAGGCAGTGGAGCAATAAGTTCTTGACCAAAAAAACCAAATCTCAATATTTATAGCCACATGTGCAACAACGATCACATTTTACAATCAAACGACAATAACTCAGTATTGATTCGCAAAATTAGACCAATGAGATTCACTTGTACGAGTCATTTAAACATCTTCACATGATTTTGAGTAAATAGAATAGCAAACTTATAGAAGTCTAACATTTGTTTCACGTTAAAGAAGAGAAATATTACTAATCGAAATTACAAATAATCAAATAAAAAAAAAAAAAATACCGCGAAGGTGGTGGCAGTGGCGCCAATTAGACCGAAGAGAAAAATTCCCCAGAGTTTGACGTCATCTTTCTCTTGATGAGGTCTGTTTGGGGACTGCCATGGGTTCTCCTTATCCCGGTTTCTATCTTCCCCTCCCATCTTCTCGGGAATTGAATTCCCTGAATTCAACGATTGCTGTCAACCGATGATAAATAAATTAGAAACCCTAACTCCAAATGCCAATGGCATACTTAGGGTTTTTCCTTTATAAATTTGGCCTTCAATGAATTCTTTTCTGCACTGCCTTAGCCTTTCCAATAAGACTCTGTCTCCCGGTAAAGAGTTCTAAACTTCCACTGAGAGAGAACAATAAGGTGAGATTGGGCCGAGGGAGGGAGATTTAGGTGCTCATTATCGGACCCAAAACAAAGAGTTCTCTAGCGCCAAAACTGCATACGTGGCATTCATTTAGTGGATGCCTAGCTGAACAAAAAAACGACGCCGTTAGTCTGGAATAGTCTAGAATGGGCTTTTGCTATTATCGGAGCCCAAATATAGCCCAATTCACTGAAAAATCCATTGAACCCCGATGTCCACTAACTGCCCGGTTCCAGTAGGACTAAATATCAGGAACTAAAACTTTGATCCAACGGACAAAACCATATTCTGAACTAGAGGTGAGGTGGGTTGTGGCGTGCCTAAAAATTTAAGGCCCATCGTGCCATGGGCCATGTCGTGCAAAGGCCTGCACAGTTTCGTGCCCTATAGTGCAGTGTCGATCCACGAAATTTGAAGGCCCAGGGCATAGCCTGTTATATATCGTGCCGTGCCTTAGGTCATGCCATGGGTTGACCCACGTGCTTTTTGAAAATATTTTATTTTAATATTTATAAATTATGGTAGTTTTGATTTATTATTAATAATTATTATAAAAATATTTTATGTGTTATATTTAATGACATTTTGTATTTATGTTAATTAAAAATATGTAATCACTATGAAATATAATAAAATAATGAGACATTGAAATATTAATTGAATTTCAATACTTTTTATTACTTATAAGTTATAATTATAAATTACAAATACAAACTTAGAAATTAGGATTAAGAATTAGTATACATCTTCATTTTCATTAATTTCTAAATTCTTAAAATCTTCAAATATATCTTCAGTGACACGATTTTAAAGTTTCAAATCTACTGCTACCAAATCTTTCATACACATAATGGCTTTAGCAACATGATTTTAAGTTTAAAATAGTAGTTACCCCTGTGCAAGGGGGTAACGAAGGGGGTAATAGCTATTTTAAAAATAGTTATTAATTTTATTATTTTATAATTTTATTTTTTTTCGTGCCGTATCGTGTCGGTTCACGGCACAGCCCATATATTTTCATGCCATGCTATGCTTTTTTTTGTGCTGTGCTGTGCTTTTTTTCGTGCTGGGCCATGCTATATCGTGCCATGGGCCGGCACGACCCGCGGCCGGCTCTATCCTGAACCCAACCACAGTCATCAAATTCCTCCTCAAACGTTGAGTCACATAGTCCAACAGTGAAGGCGTGATGTACTGATTGCAACTACAAAGTTTAGTTATAGTTAAAGTCCATCGAAACCGCTGGTTATCATTAACGATACCAACGCCCCTGTCAGAATCAGGTTTGTTACCACTAATCTCCATTAACAACCAAGTAAAGACAATTTAGATCTACACTCTCTCCCTCTCAAGTTCCAAAAATGCGTCTCTTCATTCAATCAGCGTAGGACATTTGTAGGTGCATTCATCGATTGAATTGATTGGCAGTCATGTCAAGAAGGATGGTGAATTCAACTCGACGATATGGAGACACTAGAACTGCTAGTATATTTGCCTCTTCTAAATCACGTTCTTCTCCATATTTATCCATCGGGCTCGTTGTGGTACTTGTTGTTTCCTATATAACATTTTGAATGTTTTATCATTTGAATTATATGCATCAATTCGGGCGAGTCCGATTTCTATTTATTGAATGAAATTTTTCAGGGCGCATTGCTACTTATGGTTTATTTGTACAGTGGCTCAGGTTTGCATTGAGTTGCCGATATTTTGTTTATATTGCAGTATCCATTTTATTAGCGACTTGTTCATGCATGGCAATTGCATGAGACAGCTAAAACATGATAAAGTGCATGGCAATTGCATGAGAAAGCTAAAACATGATAAAATTATGAGCGCGATGAGGAGTATTTGTGGTCAATTTTCTTGATAAGAGAGAGGTTTCTTGTATTTAAACTGTCTAGTTTGTCTATTCTTGTGGCATATAACTTACATCTTATAACTTACATCTTACAAACACAGGGAAAAGATATTATTCAGCTAATTATAATTTATAATTATAAAGTTTATGTATTGTGATAGAATTTGCAGATATTATATTTTATATTTGTATATACAGCATTGACTGAACTTTGAAATGCTTTGTGATAGGCGATAGTGGAAGATTTAAAGAAACTATAAGTAAGGTAGAAGGTAATTTGGTTCTTCTGTTTTTCATGTGTTAGACTTTCAGATTTTCGTTTCATTTAAGCATTATATGTTTTGAATTGGTTTGGTTCTCAAGTGTTGATTGTAGAGATTGTCTATCAATTTTATTAGTATGCTTTTCATGTACATCATGTGCAGGTGATTATTCATGCACAGTAGAGGTTCAGCAAGCCATTCCAATTTGGAAGAAAGCTATGGTGATAGCATGTATAGAGTTCTGCATGTTGGTCTTGATACATGTTCAGTGGTTTCTAGATTGTTAAAAGATGAGGAAACTGAAGCCTAGGCCGTGGAACCATACGATATAGAGGATGCTGATGGCATCTGCAAAGGACTAGTGCGTAAAGGCCTTGTACGTGTAGCTGATATCAAGTTTTCTCTTGCATACAGGCAAAATCATTTTATGTTGTAATTATCTTAGATGCATTGGATTACTTGTCTCTGAGATACCTTAACAATATGCTTCCAGATTTGGCAAGGGTCTCTGCTGAGGGAATTATCATATTAACAGGTAAAGGAGCTGACAAATTGTATTATGAAGTATAAATTTTTTTATTTTTTATTTTTTATGAAGTTGTTGATTAGGTGTAGAAATTGTTGTTTGTCGTGTGGTGTTTTTGGAATACTTACTCTTTTGCTATCTATCACGTGCTGTATTTTTTTTTTTTTTTTTTTTTGTTGTTGTTATGATCACTAGCAACTGTTTTCCATAAGTTGAATGAAAATGAAAATCTAGCTGATTCACTTGCCAAGATATCTATAACATAAAAAAAATGAATTTAATTGTGTATATTGGTGGAGTCACCAGATTTATTACGCATGTGCTTGCATTCGGAACTTTGAACTTCTTGCTTTCTACTTTATTTCTTACCACAATCCTTGACTATGATCATTTACGGCTGCTTTCTGTCAGATAATGGAATGACTCGAATGAAGTAGGCATATTTTATCAGAAGTTGTGTTGGAATATGATTTTCTTATAGTATCAAACACTTAAGAAATAGAATAATTTGGTATAGTATATGCGTGAACTTAATTATTTATGATAACATAATTTCAAACTACAACTAGTATATCTTCTGGATTTTAGACTTCTCCAAATTTCTGTTTCATTGAAGTATGCTTGTCTGATATTTCCATATGTTTGTCTTGTCTTCACCTGAGTTTGTGTGTCTCTGTGTGTGCATTCTATTCAAATGCTATAGATGCCAGCTTCAGCTAATTTCTCGAATAAATTCTAGACAACTTAAAAAAGTAATTTATTCTGCTCAAGAAATTTCTATGTAATGTTTTGATGTGGCAATAACATTTTGATCTTGCACAAGTAGGTTCTCCAGGTCGGCAGAGAGCTAAAGTCGCTGAGGTTTCCAAATTTGGGAAGGTGGTAAGTGGCTGTTAATTTTGGGTTCAGAATATTTTCCTAGTTACTGCTTGGTTTTATGATTTGTTAAACTGACACTGGGTGTTAAAATGGCCAAAAGTTATTTGGATTAATTTGTACAAATTTGGACCGTGTCTAGATGGATCTGGCTCGTGGATTAAATATTCAACTATTTACCAAGTGGTGCTTAAACATGGTTGCATTTCAAAGTGAATGCAATATAATAGCGCCTTAAAACTAACTTAACATACCTTGGAAATGTCTTTGAAAATCATCCATGAAATCCTTTTTTTCCTGGAAACCTGTTTAAAAGAATGCAGGATATTCACATACAACAAATGTATTTTGAGAATCATCAACTTGAGGAATTCCTTTTGTCCTGCATTGTTATATCTAGTGTATATGACTAATACAAGAAATATCTTAACAAGAAAGGCATCTTCTATTACTCAACTCGAGTCAACAGAATCTTTTCCCAGCCCCTTGGTTTCTGTCAGGTTATTGCTTTTTGTTATCTTTACCCGATGAAAGGAGGATGCCAGAAGGAAATAATAAGCAAAAGGGTAGTAGTATCAAATTGTTAAGCTTGTTTTGTTGAATGTTGTGGCTTTAAGAACTAGAATACCTAGTCCATGACTCCTCCATTGCATTTGCGTTAATGGTTTGCTAATCTTTTGACACTGAAAAGTTAGAAGTGATGATCTGACAAACAAAAGAGTAAATGCTGTTTTTCTTTTTAACTGATATTCAGAAGTGTTGTATGAACGTGTTTCATAAGAAAGAAGGTTGAACTTGTCAATGAACGGGAAAGCAATGTATTGTAAAATGTTTGGTTAAACGTGTTGTTCTTAGTTTACTAGGCTTAGGTCTTGTTTGCATTGAAGAAGGCATGTCCTTATTTTGCTGAATAGGTTATACACTTATGCATACATTTGAAATATTTACTAGCCTATATGCTTCAAGCAATTGAGTTTGAGATGCTAAATTATCTCAATAGTATCTTCTTTTCCTTTGCACCAATTGGATGCAAATGCTTCACTGCCTTTGTCGCTTATTCTTGTATGAAATTGGACACTTTTGAATTTAGATTTTTAATGAAATTGTATTTTTTATCACATATTTTTTCCCCTTGCTGTTGCTGGAAAAATTTATATTATCAAATATATATTTTTAAAAAAAATGTATTTCCTTTGTATACTACATGCTGAGTTTTCTCCTTGTGAAGGCGAAATTGAAGAGTTCTTCTTGGTGGGTACGTTACTTTGCCCAGACCAGTTTAGAAGAAAATGTAGCTGCAGTGAGGAAATTTGAAAAGGCTGTTAGAAAGAGTTCATACAACCCAAATTGTTGTTGTGACTATTTCATGCACTAGCAAGTCACCAATCGAGAAGTAATAAAGTGATGAATAAAGTGTCGAATCTCACAAGGACTGAATGCTAAACAAACAAATAAATTGATTGATCTTAATTGTTATTTGAGATAACGAAATTGATGAT